TACATTCGATACATGAGGTCACACAACTCGGGTAATATTCACGGTGAAAATTTGGCTATTTGAGCGGTCGAACGAAAAAAGTCATTTCTCGAAAACTAAAATATATTTTTACAAAAAAACTACACCACAGTTATTAGAACATATTGGGCTACAAATATGAAAGTAGGAGAGAAAACGAATTTTGAGCGACTTTACACAATATTTCAAATTTGTTCGATGGATGCTGACATCCTCTATTAATGCTTTAAGAGTAACAATACCATACGTTCAGAATTTAACATCGAAATTGAAACTGAGAAGTGCACTATTTTCTTCATTAGTGTGAGACGTCTTTTTAGCCATGAGAAAAGTTACTGCTTGGTCAGGTGGCTTTCCATTACAAACATGATGGCTATGCAAAGAGTTGCCATCTGTACATAAACTCTCTTCCTTGCCATCCATTACTCATTATTGGGAAGAGCTATGACCAATTTTTCCACTCATTGTTGGTTCAAATAATGACCTCAGCAAGGGTAATTAATCCAGCCATGAAGATGCGACTCTATCCAGCGGCACATCCCATTAGCCTACCCCCTCTGACTCAAAGGAGGCTCTGCTGATCAGATTCCAACAATAAGTCATGAGGAGAAGGGAGGTTTTGATTGGAATTAAGTCGCAACTACAAGCGTGGAAGGTAAGAGTTTTTGGCTGTGTTTTTAAGGGTGGTGGGGCGGATTCCTGCCTCTAAAAGTTTGGAAAATACCAGAAGACAAGCGCATCACTCGGAGTTTTGGCATAAAATCGCTATCTGACGCTAATACACCCAAATATACTGGGAAAAAACCCGCAAAGGACTATATTAGCACTATAGAAGGGGAAACATCATCTTCCTTTGCCAGAGGAAAGGTGCAAAATCGAGAGATCACCAGGCGAAAAAGGAAAGTCTTCGACTGCAATGTGAGGTGCGGAAAATCTGCCGTATGTGTCTTTCTAGAATCTTAAGATGCGTGATCCTGTAGCGAGAGGTGATATAAGGTGAATCACGCGATGTTGTTTGGAGGTAACTTTAATGACAACTCGTCTGTAGCTTTAGGAGAAAAAAGGTAGCTTTTTGTTTATGTGTACCTTAAAAGATTTCTGTTCTAATTTTTTTGAGAAGATCTTTCCTCCCGATGACGAGAAACACATTGGAAAGTTAGTTTTCATTGCGTGACTGTGTTACTCGGTTTAATGTGTTATCTTGCCTTGGTAAATAATGTCATTTGCGCATGTCGTGAACAACTCCCTCATCCAAGTCTCGATTGTGACTCCCTTCGTTCGCTCGTCAAAAGATCCGGAAAGCGGGAAACGAATTGGTTTAAACTCACGTCACTGTCCATGCGAAGAGTTGACCCGA